CATTTTAACCAGTGGTGGGATTCAAGTATTTTAACAACCGGTTCCCTGCCCTAATGATTTCTTCCAACAACCAGTTTGCCAAACTGCTCAGAAAGTTAACAACCGGTTCTCCCGAAATGGTGCAAACTGGCTGAATCCCACCACTGATTTTAACCACTACACCAAACTGGCTTCTCTGCTTTCCAAAATATGGCAGACTGGAAGTGACATTTACTTCACATTAATGTGAACAGCCAAAATGGTACTGAATTTTTGGGTGCATGTTTTACTCAAGAAAAGAAGGAACTTTTAAAATATAATATTTATTTATATCCCATCTTTATTTTTATAAATAACTCATAACTTCATAATATAACAACTTCTAAATACAGTATATTCAGTCATCGTTGAAACAGCAAGTGCTTAAAGACTGAGTTTCAACTTACTCAGCTTATTAAAAAGGTAATTATGTGATTGAATCTTCAACTATATTAAATAGATGCTTTCTTCCAATATCATTGTTACAATGTGTTAGCAAAAATTAGGAATGGCCTGAGAAGAGGCTTCTTGTCTAACTGTAATGCATAGCTTAAGAATACTGTGCAGTGGATGCATTAAATATAGAAAAGAACCTTTTCTTACATATTGAACATGGAGAAAAAAATAATGGAATATATTTTCATATAAAATCTATCCCTGAATGAATATGTTTTACATTAGGCATTTGTAACAGGTATCTTCATGAGAGAAATGTAAAAAAAAAAAAAGTTCTGATGATCAGCTGAGCGACTCGCGATCTTCGGAACTTTTTTTTTTTTACTTTTTAAAGCCTTTTTAACTATCGGTTCTGGAGAACCAGTAGTAAAAAAATGCTAAAAAAGTAAAAAGAACGTTCCAACGATCGCGCATTGATCAGCTGATCGTCGGAACTTTTTTTTTTTTACAGTTTTTACTACTGGTTCAGTGAACCAGTAGCCTTTTTTACTACTGGTTCAGGTGAACCGGACCAAACTGGTAACATTTCACCCGTTTCTGGGTCTTTATAGTCAAGATAAGGTAGATCTAACTATATAACCTTTCCATATGCAGAGGTGTCAGCACGAAAGCTAAGTTCCTAAAATCTTAGCAATATGAACCCATTAGCTGCCTCAAGAGCCTTGAAGACAAATTATATGCATAGCCCCAATATGCTTTTCTGCTATACAAAATATTCTTTTTATTTAACATTAACTATTTAAATTAATATTTAATATTACTTTATTATATGATAGAGTTTTGTCTCATTGCCTATCAACTTGCAAAGAGACCAAAATTGTAAACTATGAAAGGAGAGCATAAGAAAACCTATAAAATGGTTTAATGTTTTTCATATTATTATTAAATATAATAGCAATTGATAGTGTTACTACTACTACACTACAAATGGAAACAGAATGCAGGTCCTAAATACCAGCAAAGATCAATTGCTTTTCGTTGTTACAACCTACATATTGCACCAAATGCTATCTATCAAGATAGAAGTACAGAAGATGATCCATTGTCAAAAAAATCTACAGATAATTTTTATAATTTCAGCTTTTTCGAAAGTTTTTTTTTTTTCCTTTCTCTCCCCTGGACAGCAACACTCTAAGATGCATTTTTTCTATATTCCAGTGGAACGGGCACATTTTGCAATATCTTCATATATCTTTGTGCATTCTATTTACAACAAGACTTATTTTGACTATCTCCATCCCTTTTTAACTTGAGGTATTTTAATAAAACAAGAAATATTTATTTGATCTCTGCTCTTCTCATCTGTATTGACTCTCAGTTCATGAGATGTTCCTGAGAGTTCATAAAAAATCTTTTAGTCAGACTGTAATGTTTAGTCTTGCATTTGACCGAGATCACACCTTTGATGTGGTTCGATTATTACATTAAAAAGCGACCTCCTGTTCTCTGGCCCAGTCATGTGCAAGCTCTATAGCGCAAAGTACTGATTAGCTACATTTTTTATCCACAAAGTCTTCCCAACAGCTGCTTGCATATGGAAGCTGGAATATCTCCAGATCAATTTCAATAAAAAGTTTGCTCAAACCTGGTTGCTGGTTGTGGAAGTGATCTAAGTAAAAAATATATTCACAGTCTCCTATGATTTAAAGAGTCTCATGACTGCAATGCAAATGAAATATTTCCAATTTGCAAAATAACAACAATAACAACAAGCTCTGTTACAAAACTTTTGATATATTCTATATCGATATATTCTATACCGATAGCCATTGCCTGCCTGTAGAGGAAAACAATTTAATTCTTTTTAGGACAATGCTAGGAGAATATTATGATGAACAAGATTCTTCAGAAAATTATACAGCTTTATGTAATGTGCTCTCTCTCTCCCCCCCCCCTCTCTCTCTCCATGACAGCACCAAAATGTGCTCATGATATCTCAAAGGAGGTCATCAAGGTTAAACATTTGATTTCACCTTTCTCTAGAAATTATAATTTGTACATGAGACTCACTTCCTACCACTTACCTTGAAGAAAACTCACTGAGGCTAAGAAAGAAGACAGTATATTTCCAAGCAGATGGAACAAGGTGGATGTTTTACTGCTAGGCTTTGGCCTTTGTGCTTTGCATTCTAGGAAAATAAAATCCAGGTGACAGAACCCCCCCAGTCATCAAAAAGGGCACTTGTGAGGTAAAGAGGAAAGCATGAATTTAGAACTGTTGTGTTTTACTGCAGTAATTTTAAGAAATAGCTATGCTTTCAGTACTACTACTTACATTGTACAACTCCTCCTGGCTTTACTAACAAAGGATTCTAGGAAACTGAGCAACCAACAATGTCCTCCTGCCTTTTCTCTGTCTGCTTGGGAACAGATGGATTCTAGTCTATCATTTCTAGAGCCATCCTCTAGAAATTGTTTTAATAGTAGAGGTGAATTCTCTGAATCTCAAAATAGCCTCCAGATAGTTTACCAGCATCTGGTTGCTCCTATCTATGGGATAATCTACATTGAGACCATCACTTCAAACGTGCTTAGGAAAAACAGCTTTATCTGAAAATTCCTTTCACCTGCAAAAGCTGCAGATTCCAGCAGGCCCAATGTATTTCTGAATCAAGATCATGGGACTTTAAAATCCCGTTAGGTTCATTTTGCCTTGCTTTGGACAGATGGATTACCAGAAACTGCAGCTTAATTACCTGAATAAAAACACACTGAAATAACTTGGGTGTGGAATTGCATTGGCTACCACTAACACTGCTCACCCTAGAACAGATGCAAATGTTTATTTACTAGCTAGTGCAAATCTCAAAATTCATCAGTTTTTTTTTCCTCCTTCTGTATTCCTTAACATTTATTTATTGCACCAGGGAATAAACTTGGAAAGATGGTTTCATCCCAGGCCGCCCTCTCCTGCTGGGAAGTACCCAGAAACCTGAGAGGAGGGAACAGGTCCACAATAGCCTAAAATGACCAATAGGAGATGGACAGACCCAGCTCCCTGGCAGCTAATGCCATGACCTATCATATAAAAATGGTTACTTGTGGTATGTTTGTGCTAGAGTTCAGGGGACACAAGGACAAGTCCTCATATATTTAGAGCTACAAGGCTAACATATTCTCCAGGAACTATATGAATCGAATTGAATCCATTCCTTCTCAAAAGTGTTTTTTTTAATGCATTTAATACCATGCCAAAAAACTTCCCCAACCCCCCCCCCAAACCCAATGATCCAAATTATTATTCTTCCTCTCCCTAATATACAATTAGAAGTGAGATGCCCTCTATCTCAGGGTTTTGGGCTTCTCAAAGGGGAACACAGAGCACAATATCTTTAAAGCACCAGGCTTAGAAACTCTGGGCAGAGAGACTCTTCCAGAAGCACTGTGATAACACAAAGAAAACTCTTTTCTAGATGGGAAGGAGCACGTTTCCACTTTATCACTATCTTCTTGGTCTTAACAATCATTTTCTCAATCTCTCTCATGGAAGAAGTGGAAAGGATAGTAAAGGGAGATTCTAGTTGATGATACTTATGAAGCAACAAATCTATGCCTTATCTAGCCTAAGGAACACAGCTCTGGAAAATGATAGTCTTATTAAAAGGGGTAGGTTTTATTCCACAAGCTAAATGATTTATATGTAAATAGCACAAAATACATCACCTGCCTGCATATCACATGGAACTATTAAGTACCAGGTAATCATGAAATGATAATTGGACATCTCTGTTGAAGAAACCAGGAGTTTCATTTTATATAGTACCTTAATCCAGGGAATGGCATAGTGCATAACTGTAACCACGTGAAAGGACCTTTTCTTCCTCAATGATAAACTATTCATGTTGCATGGCAAATCAATTCTGAAACTGAGAAACTACTTGCAGTTCTGTAGATCTGTTCACATCAGAAAAAAATGGAAAAACATTGTGGATATCACCTGTGCATACTCAACAGTAAATAAGGTTAAAATTCCAGTGATTGAATTGAGGGAGGCAATAGAGTTTTTGTTTGAACATCCATTTATCATGATGCAATATATTGGAATACATTTATAAGTTATGTACAGCTGCTCATTTATTCCTTACTCTGCTTGATAATATTTAGTTGTGATTCTTCAAAATATTTATCTTTGTCTCAGTACCATGCTGTGCTCATTTTAATTTGTGACAGCTTTATGTTTTCTTTAAAGTAAAGTGTGTTTTAAATGATATGCTACCTCTGGGTCAGTGGACTGAATTTTTCAAGATAAAGGGAAATTTACTGATGAGACAAGTTCTTTATAAGCAAAATCAAAGATCAAACTTTACATTACATGCATCTTTTTAGAGCCAACATTTGTGGTAGACTGTGGGGCGCAAAGAGACGTTTGAAGTTTCCAACTATGAACTGTTTTCATTTAAAAATCTGTATTATGATTGTTTTCAATATTGCAAAATACATTTCATATAAAGCCACATGCATTTTTCATATAAATGTTAGAACACTTTGAATCATTTATAAGACAAATGAATTAGCTATAACAAGAGCAGGATTACTCAAATTTATTTCTAGCTATAAAACAGTACATCAAAACACTCTATTAAATCAGCCTTTTTTTAAAACAGTATTCAGCATCTGTATTTCAAAATGCAGCATAAAACTGATGCAGGTTTTACTAAATCTTTAATTTACCAGAATTAATGCAGAAACCAGATGGAGTTCATTAAATCTATACATTCAGGGATTAAAAATAAATCCCTCAACACATCCTGAAAGAAGTTATTTCAACATTTGGAAATGAGAAGCTTGAGCATCTTCTTCTGAATATTTAAAAGTAAAATAAAATATCCTACTTCAGTGTCATCAATCTCTCATATATTTCCATTAACAAACTGACAGAACTGCTTGGGATTTGGAAGTGAACATTATACAATTTTCCAGTTAAAAACTTACAATAAATGATTTTGCAACAGCATTTAATAAAATCCTGAATAATTAAGAATCACCCTAGCTATATCACAAATAATTATGCATTAATATTATTGCCTTCTCTAATGATTAAGCAACCATCTTCTCTATATCCTGTTTCATTTAAAATACTGTTTCATTCATAGAATGTTAAAATATAATTAACACATTTATCTATGTTACTCATTGATTATACGAAAAGTAAAACAATTCCACAGTACATTTATTCATTCAGTCAAAAAGGTTTCACAAAAATACAGGGGTTGTGTTTGAGGAGTTAAATTACAATCAGTGGGTACAATACTGACAAACATGTACCTCTAATTTAACCTTTGTTCTGAAAAGATGACCCTACAGTACTCCAAGACTCAAAGAGCTATAACTATAAAATATACCAGCACTTGAAAAGCATAATATAACAAACTCTGCTAAGGCAAGCAAAATACATCAATTGATAGGCGTGTATGAGAGATTATACATCTGCATGTGAGAGAGTGTATTTATGTATTCATAACATTTTCCTCTGTCAAATTCTTTTAAGAGTATTTATACTTTAGAAAGAAGTCCCGACTCTGGAGCACTTGCTTTAATGAGGTTCTGGATTTCTTTGAATTTGGGATGATCTTTGTCAGCTATCAGCTGCAGCAATACAGCTTCACTAGTGGTAACAATAATCCCAGTGCGAGCAAGGCGCTGGAAAAAAGAAAACAGACAAATAAAGCCGATTATCTGCTGAGAAACATTTGAACAATAAACCCACAGATTTTACAATTCCCTCATAACAGTGCATTATAATTTATCTTAAACCAGAAAAGCAACTGTTTTGAAAATAGTTCCACTTCACTGAAATCACATTTTAGATCAATAATACAAGGATAATAAATAGCAATTATATAAAAACTAATAAATAAATAGCTTCCGGACATGGTTTTTATCATCAATTTTCATTTTTTCCTGTTCCTTCACAGAATTTTATGGGGGTCTGGACAGTAATATCTTCCAGTTATACCACTCCAACATTTTCCCATTTCTTTGTCCATTTTGCTTTTCATAATGAATATATTTAAACAGTTAAATGTGGAATAGATGCATTGATTTGCACATTAAAGCACCATACTCACATAGTTGCTAACAGACAGTTCTTTATACCCTTGACGAAATAAATGAAGTTTGGGATACCTCTTATGTTACATTCACCTTTGTGTCTGTATTCTGAGAAATCCGTCCCATAAAGGAAACATACTTTGATGATTTTCATATAATAACAAGATAGGAAGAGCTTGGAGTTTCTTTCAAAGATCTTAGCAGAATATTAATTCTAGTAATTGTATTGTGTTTTATTCTTGATATTTTATAATTGTTCTAAACTGCCTTGGGTTTTGGGATGACAAGAAGCGTTGGATATACATTCAATATTATTATTAAAAAATCAGAATAACTGAACTGCTTTTGATAATAGTCAATATCTACAGTATATAGAAAAGATACCATTCTTTGCTTTCAGAGGATAACTATAAATTACATTGCCAGTAAAAATCCTCAAGTAATAAGCAAGCATTTTATATTGCCTAAAACCTTGACTAATCTGCGCTACTGAATTTAATGGGGACAAGTGTTGTCTGGATGCTGCCCAGAGTCATTTGGTAGAAAAATGGGCAGCATATAAATTTAATAAATAAATAAATAAAATATAGATGCAATTATTGACTTTGCATAAGCTAGACAGCTCTTGCCAAAGTTCAAAAATCAAAACCAAAAAATTTGCTTAGTTACATTAGCTTAATAAATTCTTCTTCCACAGAACATAAATCTATGCATATATCCCAAGATAATGGTGCATCTTAATATTTGTTAACTACCATCATTATTTTCTCTAATTAAAACAATAAAAGAAAAATAGTTTAAGAGAGTTAAAATACTTTCTTCTATTATTTTGTTGGTATAAGAGGACTCCACGTGTGTCAGAGTTCTGTGTCTCAAATACTAGGATTCCTCTGCTCATCATGTATTACTGTACTATATATAAAAATCAGAACTGGAGTAGTGCATCATATCATTTAAGGAATAACTGAAGAAAGCATGTTACCTAATGCAACCATCCTGTTCTGGCAAATTTCTATATGCTGTTTCTATAGATGTTCCTTTTGAAATATTTTTAAGAATTAATTTCCTTAGGGATTTTGCTCCATTTTCAGCCTGGTATTACTATAATTTTTTTCACCTGTTCCTAAATCAAGATACATTTAAAATTGATTTTGCTTATGTTTTGTGAGATTGATTTTTCTCTCAAAGCAGAAAGGATAGCTGAAACCTTTGTCATACATCTTTATTTTAGTAAGCCATTTAGTAAACTAAATCATTCTACAAATAATTTCATGTTTTCTATGCTATCCCAGATTTTCTTCGAATGTATTCTCTTTTCACCCTTATATTTTTAATTTTCAGTTACTGCTGCCAAAGAAATAAGTAAAATAGAGACTATATGGATGCTAACAATGGTAGGGAAGTCATATACAGTCATAAACGTGTATACTGTTTTAAAAAATAGAAAAATGTTTTTCCTTTTCTGTGCCACAGAAATATTTGAAACTACAGGAATATAATACTTATAATTGTTACAATCTAACCATTACTGAAACCAATCTCACATAACTATCTAATAAAATTACCTCCAGAGCAAACATTCTATCCATCATACTTCTTGAAGAGGTTGCATCAGCCACAATATGAACTTCCAAACCTCTGCCAATTAATTCCAGGGCTGTCTGCTGAATGCATACATGAGTCTTGAAGAAGAATAAAAGTAAATCGTATCAGCAATTATTATATTTACAAATGATATTTTACCTTTATTTCAATAGTAATACTGCTCTAGGAAAACTACAAATACATGGTAAATGAAATACATACTTCTACTCCAAATAAAACAACACTGCGGATTCCAGGTATCTCTGCTATAGCAGCCTCAACTTCAGGCAAGACCATAGAAAACTTTGTTTTAGGTAAAACAAGTTTAGCTCCAGTTAAGTCAATTTCTTGTACGGTGTTTCCAAGACCTTTAGGATACTGTTCAGTTACAATGATTGGGATGCCTAAAATCCGTGCACCTTGAAGCTGCAAAGATTAAAAAAACACAGAAAAATGAAAGTTTATTTAAATAATAAAATATAAATAATAGTACAATTAAAATAGTACTTGACCTTCAAAGAACCAAATATACATACCAATCGTTGGCTTACGCTGATAATATCTCCAAAATACTTGATAGCAGGTCTGAATCTTTCTTGCATATCACAACAGAAAAACACAGTGCTCGATGGTGTAAGATTGCCCAATGTAGTTATCTGAGATAAAGAAAGAAGGGAATATTAATTATGGGTGCCATCCCATTTTACTTAAAAATTGTCTCATTGTTCTCAATTCAAGGAGGTATACTCGGGATCCCATTGTTTAAACAGAAATACTTTAAATGGGTGGAAACCCAAAGCCATACTATTTTTGTTCAGCAGAATATTTAACCCTATCTTAGAATCACATATTCCCAGATTAATATTTTCTAATTCATAAAACCTCTCTTTTAAAACCAAGCTGCTTTAGTAAGGAAGTCTATTGTTTGTGAAAGAGAAATCCAAACATCCTTCAAGTGTGTGAAGATAGTAATATAGTTTTGGTATCTTTATCATTATCTTTGAAATGTATGAATGCTTTATGAGACGAATCCAACACCTTGGGGTTTAAACCAATATTTTATTTATTGATCAGATTTTTAAAAAATCTACTTTAAACAAGTAACCATGGGGGCTAAATATAAGATACTACATGAAAATTAAATAATAAAAAAGATCCTTTCATATATTACGTATGTTGCTAAGGCGCTTTGAAAGCAAAGCTTACTTTTTTAAGTTTAGCAATTCATTGTTTTTCCTCATTCAAATATTACTGCTGAGATGTAGTTATCTTATTTTTTCATCAATAATGTTTTCAGTAGGAGTGCTAGAGGAGTAATACCTCTCTAAAAAAAAAACCTTGGTCCAGATGGCCCAGCTGGTAGCACCTCGTAAGGGCCCCTATCCAGTGTTACAGGAGAAGATGGTCAACTGTTTTGAAGGCGGAAGAGAGCTTTATGCCCCAACGGCCACTGCCTTGTGGCTATATCTACTACTGGAAAAGGCTTCAGGAGTCAACTTCGAGGCAAAATCCGGAGCCAGAGTCCCGGAAGCAGTTCGTGACTGTGTACAATCACGTTCTGGTAACTCCTGCGATGCAGCTGGAACTAATCGTATTGGCTTTGCCATTCCATTGAACTATTTCAGCGATGTGGAGAGGGGGGATCTTCTGGTTGGGTAACAGTCTATCCTCCATATTAATCTACCCAGGCCTCATGCTCTGGAGAGGACACTCCAGCTTTGCATACAGCATTGAAACAGCACGGGAAGTGGCAGTTACCAGTAAGGGATTGCCACTCTCGAATTGGCTTTTTTAGTCACACTAGATGCTGTTTTAGGACCTCTTTCCAGAGCACGATACCATAGTCTCTTGAGACTGAAGGATGCCAATGAATGTTTTCAGAAAGAGCCTTGGTGGCGCAGCAGATTAAAGTGCTATTAAGTAGCACCAGCTGCCTACAATTACTGCAAGTTCAAATCTCACCAGGCTCAAGGTTGACACAGCCTTCCATCCTTTCGAGGTAGGTAAAATGAGGACCTGGATTGTGGGGGCAATAAGCTGACTTTGTATAAAAAAGAACACCGCTTAAGGGGCCCCAAAAGCCCTACTAAGCAGGTATATACAAAAGTATGAAGGCTATTGCTTAACGCATTGTAAGCCGCCCTGAGTCTCCAGAGAAGGGCAGCATATAAATCGAACCAATAAATAAATAAATAAATAAATGCTAGATCCAAAGCACTAGAAGTGAACCTTTGTGATATAGTGTGATTGAGCTGCTGAACTAGGACCACAATGATTCAGGTACAACTCTACACTTGTTGGGAAATAGAAATCTGACAAATGAATGTGCACAGAGGAGCATCTTTTTCCTTATCTCAAAGAAAGTTCAGGGATCCTTCAGAGAAGCATCTCACATAGTATGAGAAGCTGTTGACAGAAAAAAAAAATCCACTTTTTCCTATGTGATTATACGCATGTGAAAATCATTATCATTATCACCATTTGCTTCAATACATTTTTCTTATTTCCTGATCACTATTTTTCTCCTTGGAATAATTCACAAGTTTTATACTTATTTGATATTACTAATACATAAATATTAATTGATTTATGACCTGCCTACCTGTTTTGGCAAGCAATTATAAAAGAGACCTTTATGATAACTAAGTTCTATGATAGCTGAACAGACTGAAAATCTGTTCATATTAACTTGGAATATATTCTATTAATTTCAATAAAAGTATTCCTAAAAATGTGTAGGCTAATTAGAACGTTTAGGTTGCAATTCTAAGCTAACATATTTCAGAGTATGCCTGATTCAACTCAGATGGATTTTTGTTTGAGTACACATTCACAGAACTATGCTCTCTAAGTTTAACTTCTGAAGAAAGAACAAGCAGAATTGAAGTATTGATGTTTCATATGCATAAATACATAAAGGAAACTGTACTGTTTTATGTCTGGTTTGTTTTTCTATTTTAGGTTCTGGCCAACATCAAAACTGATTTCACTATATATAAGCAGTCACTAGAACTTGAAGATGTTCTATGAGATCAGACACTATTCTAACATGTCTTGGTACTTTTCCCTAAATTCTTAAGAAACTGGAAATAATATGATTATAACAGTACTAATTTAACTTGTGTTATAAATTAAATCATTATTTCACAAACTGTAATTAAACATATAGTGTATCTGCAACAAGCAAACGAGCAAAATCAAAGAGAAACGCATGTCATACATATATTGTATGTCTTTCAAGTTACTACAAATTAAGAAGTTCATTTTAATACCAAATACTTCTTTATGCAACACTGAATATAAGCATGTAGCTATTACAAAAAGCAGATATCTAATGGCAGTCTTATATTAATATCTAAAAATGCTATATAGTGTAATTTAGCCCATGGAAGAAAAAAAGAAGGGCTTGAAAAAGAACATTTTCGGGTTCCTCTAAAAGCTGCTGCTGAATTGTAGTATTTCAAGGAATAGAAGATATGACTTTATTGACTTTATTTTTTTATTTATTAACTGCATTGTAGTTAACAGTATTCAAAACAATTAAATTAAGATTAAATGTTGTTCCATACTTGGCTATTTGGAGTCCAATCTCCAGCTTCAATATTATGCACCCCCTTTTAAGTAGAGAAAGGGGCTCTTTAAAATTAAATTTAATTTTAATCCTTCATTTAATCCTCTCTCCCCTTCTGTTCCAATACTGCTTCTTTGTTTGCTCTTTTTTTGCGTAAACATTGAGGCTAAATCTAGCCCTTGACCCAAAAAAAGACTGCATATCCCTGAGTTTTTTTAAAAAAATTCCAGCCAAATGAAACTTCTTTCAGGGGTATTAAATATTCATTCAGAGTGTAGCACTTTCTCACCAAATGCAGGAATACAAGATGTCTTGCTTAAGACTTCAACCTTAAAATGATAAATTCTTGAATCTTATTGTTTTGTTTAATGTAAAACAAATGCTATATACAATATAACACCAGAACAACATAGAATGATTTTTATGACTGATATACTCATAAAATGTAGATATTGAAAATGCATCTACATCAGTCTAGTACCACTGTCACATTTTAACAGAAGTCAAGGGTAAAGAGAATTGACTGAAAAATGAATGCTTTAACAATAAATTCCAAGGGCTAAAAACTGCCGTAAAAGAGAAAGTGACCCATTTTTTGCACATCAGGTCTCAGGCAATCTCCAGCACATAATACTAGTATTACAGATTTCTATTGGAACCTCTCGTGTTTTGTAACATTTTATAGCCTCACTTAAACATCATGATGGCTACGTCAAGCCTATCTGATACGGCATAACAACGATGACTGAATACTGCTGATAGGGCAGAACAATAATGGTTGAATAATGTTGACTGTGTTACTAGTGAGGAAATACTAACAGTGGCTTTCAGGTTCTAAAATGTAACACAGAATGTCCTTGCTCATGGTCTATACAACATGAGGAAAGTTTTACTCAGACTGAAGACTTCTAACTGCAGTCCAATGCCATCTCTTCTCTCCTTTACTCCGTTTTATAGAGATGGCCTAGAATGGAATAATAAGATATGAAATGGATATTGCAACTGGGGTAAATTGAGACACCTCTCTTGGTAAACTAAGGTAAATTGAGACACCTCTCTTGGGTAAAAGCAAGGGTAACTCTAAATCCTGCATGGGAGGTTTAGAGCAAATACTTCACAGTTTGCCATATCGACTATCCTCTGTTAATTTTATTTCAATAATCAGCAGCATTGGAGCTCTAAAAGAACATATGTTATTGCATAGAGATGCTTAACTTTCTGTAAAATTTTCATTTACTTATTTATTTATTTGTTTGTTTGTTTACTTACTTATTTACTAACTAACTAACTATCCATTTCCGTTGGAAAGGGACTCTGGGCAGTGTATAATGCCAACAATAAAACCAAACATTAAAATCAGAATAATTTAAGCTTAAAAGTTTTAAAATTATAAAAACATTCTAAAAATTTCAGAAGGTGAAGAATTCCAAGATGGGGGATTGACAGTTGCTAATAGAGGCGGCCGGGGGGGGAGGGTTCATATGGTTGTGTGGGCCTCTATGTCCCCCACACAAAGTTACACAGTCATGTTTTGACCCCTTTGCAGAAGGCCAAAAGATTGGGGGCTTTCCTCACCTCTGAGGGCAAGATGTTCCACAATGCAGGGACAATGGCTGAAAGGCCCTCTTCCTGATTTAAAATGGAACCTAGTAACAGCATAACATTATAAAGGTTATAAAGATGTTTGGGTGCTTCAAAGTCAGTGTTTAATAATTGATAAAGATGTAATAGTCATTTATTTTTATACTCTGATAATGAGAATCTGAAGCTACCTATATTTACTTTTTAGAACCTCTAAAATACTCAGTGTTACAAATGTTTCTTTTGGTTCATATATTTTGCGCCACATAATTCAACCTATGAACATTCAGTCAGAGCAGCCACCAACCTGCCCGAGGGCCTGGGACTTGCAACTCCTTGTCAGCTTCCCCACTGATTTGGTTGTGGGAAGCTGGCAGGGAGTTGCCTGCCTAACGACTTTAGAGATTCAGTTAATGACAACAACCAGCAACAAAGATTGCTGGATTATGACTATCCAGCAGATCAGCTTTAGGCTAACAAGACTGACCAATTTCTTTAAAGGCTTAAAGGCATTCCTGTAGACTCGTGTGATCAGCTAAGATCAATAGCAGAACTAAGAAATAAGTCCAATAAAATCAGTGGGACCAATTCATGTGGTTTAATCTGGATGTTCAGAGTTACGAAATCCCATTCACAAGGCACTTCAGCCAAGATCACCTTCTATGGCAAACTATCATTCCCTCCACCATTTATAATTGTCATTAAAGTGTGATCTGGGAATACTCAAGCTTTATCCAATTTTATCCATTGATACTTTCCCGCTACCATTAAAACTGAACGAAATTCACTGATTATTAAACTCAATGTTCCTCATTCTGAATATTCTGAACAAGGAGTCAATAGAGATGCCAACCTTAACATAGTGTTGATTAGATTTCCTAAGCAGGGAGTGGGATTCTTCTCTGCTGCCTGCTTCATTCCCATCCTGGATCACGCACAGATCTTCTCTTCTGCCTACCCCTCTCCCTTTACTTCCACATTGGCTAGAGAGCACAGCACTGCCTAATCTAGTGCAGAACTTTCCAAGGGTTAACTGCAGCTGCTGCTGTTCGAGGTAAGTGATGGAGTTTTCCTGAAAGCACTGAGGGCGAAGGTTAAGGGAAGATGCAACTAAGGAAAGAGGAGCAGGAAAGATGAAGGATTTGTTCTTTCCTGGGGATGGTGGTATGCGCCAAGAGAGAAAGAAGCAAAATGAGATGAAGAATGAGGTCACAAAGCAACAGAGGCTGAAATCCCTGTAGCGGGAGGTAATGCTGGGCTATGGAGAGCGGGAACAGCGAGCTTGCAGAAGTAAATGTCCCTTGAACGGGCTGCAAGACAAGTTTCTGATCATTCCCACAGCCAACCAAGAAATGTCCACAATAGCTTAGAAAACCATTGCTTGGTGGGAGAAGGTAGTCCTGCAGCAGATCACTGACCTCCAAGATCCTCTTCACGCACCACAGAATGGTTATTCAGCATAGAAAACATCACTTTTTTTTGCTGGATCAGCCTGACCAGGCTTTAGTCTGCCTAAGCAATAAACTAGCAAGAAGTGGAGTCTCTGCTACAGAGGTTATATTCTCTGTAAAAGTTAGAGAGTTGGATTAGAACACCTACCTCCAAAGTCCCTTCCAACTGTTACGCGCGTGTGTGCGCGCACACACACACACAGTGGGAATGAGCTCTCCGAATCATTATAGCATTTGTTATTCTTTTGGTGCTGGCAGCCAATGAATTGGGTTTAACCAATGTGTTGAATAACACATTGTTGAATCACACATTGAATAACCAATGTCGTGTGGACTAATCTAAACCGGTGTACAAGCCGGAAAGACTTTGTTTTTAAAATGCCCAAGACCAAAACCATGTTTTACTTCACATGTTCCCACAACATGCATGTTAAAGGTTGTTCCCATTCTCAAGATACACAATCGATGTTAGAAGCCATGATGGATTGGTTCAACACACTAGGACAAACTCTGACTGGCTAGTTAATGGTGTTGGTGCAATCCAACATACGTAGCCATTTTGTTAAGGGAACCAAAACTGACTTGCAGAAGGTGCGCAAGCTGGCTCTGACCACTTCGCTGTTGTCCAGCGGATTTCACCTTTTCCCCCCCAGCGTCAGGTGGGTGTGGACGGCTCCCACAGGACGCCGGATGGCGAGACTGCCTTCGCTTCAATGATCGAGAAGGCGCTGTTCTTGCATTCACTCAGAGACACTCAAACACACACATACACACAGCCGTGCACGCCAGGGCGCGCGCGCAAAACCTTGCTCTTTTTCGCCGTCACCCACCTGTATCTGCAAGGGCACGAGGCGCAATTTGCACCGCTCGTTCACCAGGAAGCCCTTGGGCAGGTCGATGTATTGGCTCCACTCCTCGGAGAAGAGCTGCAGCACGAACTTGCGGTGCATGTCGAGCTGGTCCCCGTAGAGGTTCAAGAACTTCTGAATTAGCATCTCGTAGCCGGAGCCGTGTGGCACCGTCGAAGGTCTGGCGAAGACCGAAAAGCAAAAGAGCACCGGCACAGACCCAGAGCCGCCACCGCCGCCGCCGCCGCTGCTCCCGCCGCCGCTACTGAGCGGGAGAGGAGCGACGACGGCTGAGGCTTCCGAAAGCTGCTGTTCCGCCGCCGCCATGTTCGCGGGCAGCCGCTCCAGTTCCGCTCCGCCGGCGCAGCTCCTCCTCCTCCTGTCACCGCCGCCGCCTGGCCAGACAGGAGGCGCCGGCGGCCCCCAATCGCGGCTTCTGCTCCTCCTTCTCACCATAGGAACCTGTCCTGGGATGGGCGAGTCACGGCCAGGTGGGGACGCGGAAAGGGAAAGGTCGCTGCTCCCTTCTTGAAATGGGCAGCAAGCCGTGTGGTGGTGGGGCGGGGGAGGGGAGAGCCTCGCTCCCACTGGCCCGACTGGTGCGCAGACGGGCGGGCACCCTGGGCTGTAGAGGCAGCGGACCGGGACGGCAATGAGGCGCTGTCGCTGGGGGCTGCGGCTCGTGGCCAAGCCTTCGCCGCGGCGCATCTGAAGAGGAGGTTTAGAAGAGAGGGCGGTCTCTCAGGGAGGCCAGACTGCCACTCGTGCCCGTTCCCCTCCTCAAAAGGGGCTATGCCAGCTGTGCCCGGCAGCTGTGCATTACGGTACCTCCAGTGCATGTAGCGAACCGAGAAAATGGAAGGGAGTCGATAGTGATGTGGAATAATGTCAAGCAGAGAGAATCGTACTGTCCCTTTTTTTAAAAGACATCTTACAAAATCAAATTTAAGCACAATTTATTTATTGTATTTATTTATTTGTTCAACTTGTATGCCGCCTTTCTCCGAAGACTCAAGGCAGCTTACAATGCATTTAAAAACCATATATAAAACATTAAAAGTTAAACCATTAAAAACAATTAAAACCCATTCACACCATTCATGGCCGGATCTCGCCAGATCGCAACAGCGAGATGAACGGCCCCAGGCCTGCCAGAAGAGCCAGGTCTTCACCACTTTTCAGAAGGCCAATAGGGTGGGGATGGTCCGGACCTCGGGAGGTAACTGGTTCCAGAGAGCTGGGGCAGCCATAGAGAAGGCCCTCCCCCGAGGGCCCGCCAGCCGGCATTGTTTAGCTGACGGGACCCTGAGGAGAACAACTCTGTGGGATCTTACCGGTTGCTGGGAGCTTTGCGGTAGAATTTTTATTAATTATTATTAATTATTAATTAATTAATTAATTAAAATAGAACCCAGTTCTATCACAATTATTAAAATAGAACCCAGTGAAAAATTACTGTTATGGATCCAAACATTCCACATAACTTTGTTGCGCTCTGAGATGATAAAATTGTCCGCTACTGAAAATTAACTAGAAGAATTCCAAATCAACGCATTTCATGAATGGTATTTGTCAGGCTGTAAATCTGGTAGAATTGGAGATGCCAACCTAGGCTCTTATGTCCTGGACCTTCCCAACCATGGCTAAGAGACGGATCCATCTGTGAACCAGTCAAGTAGCTTTCATTTTCATTTTCATTAGTGGTGCAAACAAAGGGGAAATGTTTCCTGTATTGGCACTGAAATGCAATGAAGCAGCTTCCCCTTGGCTCTTATTCATACTGCTGGAGCCAAATACACAAGTACATTGCCACTGTTCTATCAAATTATTTATATGCATTGGTTATCTCTCATATCCTGTCTCCAATTAAATGTCAACACATGGCATTTCACCATTGTGCTTGGCAGTCTTTTTTGCTCTTATGAAAACAAGATTGGTAGGGAGAATCCACTGCTGGATGCTGAGGTTCTTCCCACAAGTCAGGCCATAATGAGCATTATGAGGATGGTAATGGTGAAGGCCTCAGAAAGTGCAGATGGGTAGAAACACCGATCAACAATGCTACTGTTCTATTAGAAACAGATAAAAACGGAGTCAATAGAATCAGAACTGCGTCTCTGTTACTGTGCTTAACACATTTATTTATTTATTTATTTATTTTATTTTCTGCCTTTATTATTTTTATAAATAACTCAAGACAGCAAACATATCTAAAACACCTTCTTCCTATTTTCCCAAAAGCAACCCTCTGAGATGGGTTGAGCTGAGAGAGAATGACTGACTCAAGGTCACTCAGCTGGCTTTCAGGGCCAAGAGGGGATGTAAAACTCATGATATTTTTGTTTTCTAGCCTGATACTTAACCACTGGAGTCCAAACTGCCTGAATATTTCCTATTTCAGACTTCAACCATGCCTGTGTTGGTGGCATACTTTTATATTTGTTCCAGATCTAGTGCAAAAAAACAAACAAAAAAAAAACAAAAAACCAAACACTATTTGGTAACTCAGAAGATTTTTTAAAAGTTTTTTTTAGATGTTTGTTTATCCTGCTTTTATTATTTTTATAAATTACTCAAAGTGATGAACATACCTAATACTTCTTCCTCTTCCTGTTTTCTTTACACCACCAGCAAAAATAAAAGGATATGATATAACTCAGTAGCTAGTCAAAGTAACATATAAAAGCGAATTTCAGATGTTGATACAAAGTATGGGCTGCCTTTCTGGCTTCAACTCACAGATGGGAAGGACGGAAATTAAATTTAATTGTTAACCTGATAATTTCCCCTTTAATTTCCCGTTAATAGCTAATGTGATAAATTCCCCTTTAATTTTGATTTGGCAGCAAGTTTTGGAGTATAGGAATTTTCACAAGGCTTATTACATGCAATATATAATAATCCTTTTATATATTTTTTAACCCTGAAGCTGTTTAATTTTATCTTCATGATTTTAAAAAAATCTCTAAGGGTTAGTGTCTTAAGCTCCAAGGCTTTGTTCCTTAAAATGCATCAATGCCTTCCAAATGCTATTTCACCAAGGCGCCGGCAATATATCCACCTTGCCAGAGCTAGTAGGACTGGTAGAACCTTCAGGGATGGGCAGTTCTTCAAGTAACCTACCTTATGTTTGTAGTTCTTTGACAGTGACAAGCAGCATCTTGAACTGTACCCATAAGGTTTCTGGGAACTAGCACAGCTCATGTAATCATGATGTTACATGGGTATTTGCAGTGGGCCTATTACTCCCGATGCTTCTGCATTACATGCAAGCCTACCTAGAATGGCATTGCAATAGTTCCATTGGGAGGTGGCTAAGGGATGAGTGAAAATGCTCAGTGCCTCCTCATTTAGGAAAGGGTGCCAATAACACACAAGATATGTTTGTTAAAAGGTTCTCCTGGCCGCAGTTGCCATCTCTCTGAGCAGGAGCTGTGAAGCCAGGAGATACCCGAGTTGCATACTAGTACCATAATTGATTTTCTGGAAATCAATTCCCCCTTTTTCAGTATTTTGAAGCACTGAATTTGAACCAGCAATTTTATCTTGCTTGCAGTATTTATTTGCTACACTTTAAAAAATTATCTGCATAGCTTAAAACTACAAAATACATTAATTAAGAAAACAAAAAAAATGAATAAAAATAGACCAAAACTGAGACAAAGTTCAGGAAAGTGGGTCACCAGCTGCCAAAGAGTGTAAAGATTAATACAACTATTACATTGTTCCTGAAATAGACTGGAAGACACATAGCTCAAATTTATATAATGGTCTTAATATGGCTTCTTATGTCTGTAAATGGGAAAATAGACATGTTATCCTACAAAAGTGTGACAGAACACATTTTTCTCTATATGGAAGAAACATCCATGAAAGAAAACAGTAATTTAAGATGCAGTCTTTACAACAAAGTTCTTTGCATTTGTTCAAGAAAAGCCTGAGCAGTTCTGTTGAGAGACAGTCTATTCATTGCAGTGACAACCTTGGAGCTTTCTTTCAAGTTCAAGGTTCTTTATTATTATATGCTTATCTGCAATGAACCACAGTAATCTTTTGTTTTCCCTACATCATTTGTTGTCAAGTATGGTCTGAATTATCTTCCTGATTTTGACTGCCCTTTCTGGTGAACTGCCAGATTTTCTTGGCTAAACCATATAGTTTCTTCAATATCCTTAATTTAGGTGATACAGGTATGACTTCTAGAATTACTTTGTATTTGTCCTACTACTACATTAAACATGCAAATCATGTGCGCATATGCATTTATTCACTTTTTGTGCCTTTTTCCAGTGATTGGTATTTCTCTTTGCTTGCCCGTTTTATTCCTTTTAATTTAATTAATATTGTCAGTATTTATTTTAAAGCTATAGCAGTATTATTCTTTCTGGTAGTGATACATTAGATATCCTTACATAAACCATTGTTTATATAACTTTTCACCCTTGATATTTTTATACCTAAGTTACTAAATTTTCTGCCACAAAATAGGTTGTTGGTAATGGCCTTGCAATTTTTTTTAAAAAAATCCTATTAATTTAACTTGTATATTCCTGTGTGATTCCAAAAGAACTAAATATTTAGATAAAGAGATAGCACAAAGTTCTATTTCCATTCCCGCACAATTCTTTGTTAGTTTTTAGTTAATTAAAACCAGAAAAGAAAAAAGAAAAAAACAGAAAAGTTTTGCAACATTTTTCCCCTTCGCAAAGCTGGGGTGGATGTGGCCTGAGCATGACGCGTTTGGCCTGTGGGCTGCCAGTTTGACACCCCTGTGGTAGACGGTTCATTACTCAAACTAGATAACATCATCAGTGCTAGTAAGGAGTGCAGTTTGATGTCCAGCAAACCGCACTCCTTAATAGCACTGATGATGTTACCTAATTTGAGTAGTGAAAAGTCTGCAAGAAAACAAGCTCAGAGAGCACCAAGGACCCCTCATATCTTTTATCTGAATTGACGAATTAAGCCTATGGTATCTGGCAGTAAATTTTATTTAATTCAGTAGAACTTATTTCTAAGCAATCATGCAAAGAATGGCACGGTAAGAGATGGATAATAACTAGCGTTCAAAAAACAGCAGTATAAAGTAATCCTCTCCACTCTAAATTAAATATAGTATCTCTTTAGCATTTGACTATTCTAGAAAGACTATTTTAATACATCTTACAAAACTTGGATTTTTTTCTATTTTGTGCATTAGAATGCTCAAATCCTTACTACAGAAAATAATAATGAGGTTTTATATGTCCAGGTTTATTTATTTATTGGTTCGATTTATATGCCGCCCTTTCCGGAGACTCAGGGTGGCTTACAATGCGTTAAGCAATAGCCTTCATACTTTTGTATATACCTGCTTAGTAGGGCTTTGCCCCCCCCCAAGCGGTGTTCTTTTTTATACAAAGTCAGCTTATTGCCCGCACAAACCGGGTCCTCATTTTACCTACCTCGAAAGGATGGAAGTCTGAGTCAACCTTGAGCCTGGTGAGATTTGAACTTGCAGTAATTGCAGGCAGCTGGTGTTACTTAACACTGCTTTAGTCTGCTGCGCCACCAAGGCTCTTATAAACTTATCATGCAGTTTGTAATACTGGAAAGAAAATTTTATGGCACAATGAACACTTGATTGCACTTATGACTGGGTTTGCCTAT